TACTAATATTTCCATTCCCTTCAATGTGGGACTAAAATGAATCTTTTCAAATTCACTTCTATATTAGTTCTTACTTGTGTTCATTTATTGCCCATTAATTGTCAATAAATCTTTCCAATTCCCACTCTAATTAATAAAATTCCAACATTCCCCCACTTGAATTTAAAAGAGATTTTAGAAGTACGTCAGACGTTTCTAAGATTGAGCATAAGCAAAGGTGTCTACGACTTGAACCTTAGCGTAGCGAGTAGGATTCTGATTCAGCAAGAGTGACACCATTGTCTTGAACTCTATCTCGGACATCAGACCCGCACACAACCTTTCCGTAAGGTGTATTCTTGTAGCCCGTGCTTTAGTGGCTCTGCACGTGTATCCCGGTTTAGTGAATGCTCTAGGAATTCTGCTTCGAAATTCCCTAGGAACCGGCCTCAGTTCCACAGTCACATAGGTGAACCTATCAAGAGTAATCATGTAGCCTAGGTACTCCCTCATACAGAGTATAAATCTCATTAAGAGTTTCTATTATCTCGTCCTTTCATTACTTCAGGATTCATGCTTTACTTGCATGATCATTTTCATATTACTCACAACTTGTAATTACCCATTGAACCTAAGTCTTGGGATCTCCAGTCATTTAGGTCGGGTTACCATCATGAGTAACTAATTGCTTTATAGGCATTAGTCCCATCCTTTTGGAAGTATTATGGACTTTCTCTCTAGCTAATCCTTTCGTCAAAGGATCTGCTAAGTTCTCATCAGTGCGTACATGATCCACTCTCACAGCTCCTTTAGAGATACAATCTCTAACAGTGCTATGTTTTCTTCTAATTTGACGTCTTTTACCATTATAATAACGGTTCTCAACTTTTGCAATAGCCGCGGTACTATCGTAGTGGATCAACACAGCTGGTATAGGTTTTTCCCATAAAGGAATCTCAGCTAGCAAGTATCTTAACCAACTTGCTTCTTCACTAGCTGTAGCTAATGCTATCATCTCAGACTCCATTGTGGACTGTGCCAGAATGGTCTGTTTCTTTGATTTCCAAGATACAGCTCCTCCGGCTATACTAAATATATAACCACTAGTAGCTTTGGAATCATCCGATAAGGTGTTCCAATCTGCATAACTATACCCTGTTAGACTATGGCACGAATCTAGAAGGGGGGTTGAATAGATCCCCAATTAAAATTTGAGTCGGCGCTACCAATTTAAAATTGGTTTTAAAAATGTTTTAAGTGTGGAAGCGGCCGAGGAAAAATATAGTCTAAAACGAACGGTTATTGGAAAACCGGATATACGTAAGCCTTTGGATTAATGACAATTTGGAAAAATAGAATCATAACACAAATTCCACTTATCAATTATTTACTTCAGTTGTAAGGATTCCTAGTTCCAATGATTCAAAATCAAACCAAAACTAGATACACAAGTAAGATAATTTTGGTTCAAGCAATATGTCAAGCACTTGGTGTGCAAACACTCCAAGTGATATTTATGTTGAGTAAGTGATTTCAACCAGCCTAGTACAATGTCTTGTTGTACTTTGGAGTTAAAAACAGAGTTTTAACCTCTTACTCAATTGATATCACAATTTTGACAATAGAGCTTACACAAAAATTACTTATTTTGAGCTATAACGTAAATGCTGAAAATAGAGAAGACAAGTAATTTGGTGAGGCAGTTCCCCCGTCGTCCTCGCTTTGGGGTACGTCTGCCCTCAATTCTAAAACTAGAATTGAGATATATTTTATAGATATCACCTGTTTGAATGAACAGTTTATACAAGGATTGAGCAGCAAATATACAATAGAAATCTCAATGTGTTGAAAGTTGCCTTCACTCCTTGCCCCTTGATTCAAGCTGAATCAAGTTCTTCGATTTGTGTTGATGGACCTCCAACTCCAGCCACCTTATTGAATAACACTTTGGCGTCGAACCGAACCGAACCGAGCCGGCCGGCCGGACGACGGCGGCGGCGGCGCGCGCGCGCGTGTGTCTTGTTGGTCATGGGTGTGTCCTCACTCCTTTCACAAAGTTGGGTGCCCTTTAGGGCCCAACCCAATTGACCAAGTTGGAATATATAAACACTACTAATATTTCCATTCCCTTCAATGTGGGACTAAAATGAATCTTTTCAAATTCATTTCTATATTAGTTCTTACTTGTGTTCATTTATTGCCCATTAATTGTCAATAAATCTTTCCAATTCCCACTCTAATTAATAAAATTCCAACAGTGTATGAAAGAGTGATGATAGAATATGGTGGATAGTGAGTTTTTAGTTTATGTGGAAGTGTTAGGGGTGATAGGAGTATGAAAAAGTAGTATGATTTATGTAGTTTTAAAGAGAGAAAAGTAGTAGAAAGTATGTAGTGTAAGCTTTGTATGATGAAGTGATGACACATAACATGGGGAAGGAGGAAATTATAGGAAAGTGGTTATGTAGAGGAGAACTCAAACAAATCACTTTTAAGAAACTTATTTGACAAGTTTCTAAAAAAAATAAATAAAATTTATGAGACTTATTTGACAAGTTTCTAAAAAATAAATAAAATTTATGAGACTTATTTGACAAGTTTCTAATAAATAAATAAAATTAAAATTAAAATTTAAAATTGAAATTTAAAAAATTAAGTATAAAATAAGAAAAGGTATTAACTAACAAAAATAAATAAAACTGATTAATTAAAAAATATATTAGTTAAAAGTAGAAATAAAAACGGTAAAAAACGAATAATTTGACTGATATCGAAGTGGTCAGAAAAATAAAATGAATACACTAAAATGATTAGAGTAAAACATACGATTCAAAAAAATACAGCGTTTGGTCAAATTTTGAAATAAATTTTACGCGCTAAAATGGCTTAAACTATCAAAAAATGTGACCAAAAAGTGATCGAAAAATTTAAACGAGCACGTCAGGTTAAACTATGTGAAACGTAGATTAATATCACTGACGTTTGCAAGCTCTATTTTAAATATTTTCATCCACTGATTTTACGCGCAGTTGACTTTTAGTTTGACCGATTCAACTGTAATTTCAAAAAGTTTATTTTAGCTGATAAATTGGGTATTATGCAAGATACAAGACATGATAAACATCACAGATGATGCAAAAAGATGTGGGATCTTAGAGTAAAAAATTAGAGTGTGACAGGGTTCAAGCCAAATCTAAACCATTTGAGAGTTTTTGGTTCTGTTGCAAATCGACATGTTCCGGGCCAACTTAGAAAAAAGTTGAATGATAAGGGTGAGGTGATGATTCTTGTTGGTTATCACTCTACCAGTGGTTACAAAATGTTCGATGCTGTAAACAAGAGGATCGTGATCAGTCGAGATGTGGTGATCTATGAAATGAAGCAGCTATAGCAGAGTCCTGTAATGGGTTACAGGTACGAAATTTTGGATTCTAAGGTAGAAGGAAGTACAAAACAACAAGCCGTCAAAGCTTAGAATGAAGGAAATGTCAGGAGGTCAACATGGCAAATGGGTTTGCCTCATAAACTTCAAGATTGTGAGCTATTTCGTGACAATAAGGTCAATGATGATGGTGAGTTCGTCCACTTTGTATTTATAGTTGAATCTGAACCTGTCAATGCGGAAGAGACTCTAAGGGATCCAAAGTGAATTTGTGCTATAAAAGAAGAGCTTAAATATATTTAAAAAACAGTACTTTGGAGCTAGTTGATCTATTAAAAGGGAATAAGGCAATTGATTTGAAGTGGATGTTCAAAGTGAAGGTAAATCTCAAGGGTGAGATAATCGAGCATAAGGCTAGATTGGTGGCTAAGGAATTTTTGCAAAGAGAAGGGGTAAACTTTGAGGAGGTACTTGCACTGGTGGCTAGGATCGAAATAATTAGGTTTATTGTTGGTGTTCTAAATAACCAAAATTATCCTATCTACCAAATGGATGTCTGTTGGAAAATATTTTGGGGTAATGTTTTATCGTCTCCACAGGGATTGAAGAGAATATAAATGCTTGCCATTCAACAGTTTAATGTCTTAAGAAAAGGCGTTTTTAGAATGGTTTCAATTTTCGTAATTAAAGTTTGCAAGAAAGAAAACAGAATAAAATTCGGTCTAAGTTTGATAAAAACATGTCAAGATTAGGGTTCGCTAGTCCATCCTAAACGTATTCATCCGATCAAATATGTGAATGAAGTTTTAACCAACATAATCGCGCATCCTCGCAAAAATGTTCATGTCTAAATCAATTTCGTGGTTTTTATTGTTTCGACCGTTAAATGATCTCTCTAAGTAACAATCAAAACAATAAGCATTAAGATCAATACAAAGCGGATATCAACTTTCAAACCTATGTCTCACTAGTGGAAAAAAGGCTTTCTAAGTCGGTTAAAAATGACTTTTTAAGTCGGGTCTGAGCCCGACCTAAGAACTACCGACATAAGAAGTTTTGACTTCTTAAGTCGGTTGTGGACCTGACTTAACAAACTATTATTAGGTCGGTTAGACAGAACCCGACTTAATAAGTCTAGCCTGAAGAAACCTCTCGGACCATTTATACCCGACCTAAGAACTTACTTTCTTAAATCGGATATAACTAACCGACCTAAGAAGTTGTTGTTTTTTTTTGGATAATCACATAAATCGGATGCAGCTTTTCCATTTAACAATTTACCCCTAAATCAGACTATCCAACTCAATCAACAAATTACACCCAAAAAAATCACACAACACAAATCACAGTAAAACCCCTAATTATCAAATAAAATAAACCAGCAACTTATAAACACAATTACGTATATTAATAACTAGATTTATATTTTACCATTTGGTTTGGATTTTTAAAAGTGGAATAATTTAGATACAAATTTAGTTAACAATAACCGATTTTTTTTTGCACACCCCTCCTCTTATTTTATTGTGAAACAAGTGTAACAAATGTGACACATCTAAAACCGCACATATCTTTATTTAGTAGAATCCACTAAACTTAAAAACACAAGACTCAGAACAACTCTTTGAAACTCCTTCATTCACCGGTATTGGCTTGCTAATTCACCCTCCTTCACAATGTAGTTCTGTTGAGGAAAGTCTTCACCCTTGAAGTGCCTCTTAAGCATATCTTTAACTCCAGCAGCATAGCGTAACTGAACAGGTTCAATCATCAACATCATCAGTAATTCACAAAACATTAAGTGTTAGCTTTCTAAAACAGTTTTCTGGATTCATTTTTAACTTCTTTTGTTTCAATGTATTCTTGCATGTTCTAATGTTTAGGAACATGTTAGACTAAACTTGTGTCTCAAGTAATGTTTAGGAACATGTTAGACTAAACTGAGAAAAATAATAATTTTACTGACCACCATAAAAGGACTAAAGTGGAGTAGTTTTATCAAAACTAAACTACATGTGCATCTATGGTGGTTCCAGAAATATGAGGAGTCATGGCATGGTTTGGCATGTAGCGCCATGGATGATCTTTTGGAGCTGGTTGAGGGAACCAAACATCCCTACTGTAACCTATAAGATGAAACTCAGCTGTTACACTACATCAAACATAGTTCAAACGAGATTCAAGTGTTACACTATAGGATTATGTTTTGTTTGGAAATACTATATTTGCAAGCTCTGGTTTTAGAATTACCTCCAATGTGTCCACTAGAACAAGCATCAGCAACTGCTTGTGTGTCCATAATTGCCCCGCGAGCATTGTTAACAATCAAGACACCTTTCTTCAACTTAGCAATTCTATTTTTGTTAAACAATCCCCTGAATCACAAACATTAAACAACAAAAACATCAGCCACTGATGGGTGTAAACTCAGCAGAAGCACTTAAACACAAGCTGTGATTTTTAACTCTGAACTTGACTAGTAGAATGGCATTGCAGTCACTATCTAGTCGGAGACTTAGGCACTATTGTCCAAACTCCATGAACAAAATTTGTGTGTTCCCTATTTTAATTTGGAGTAGCTATGAATTTCTCTTATGACTATGGATTTCATGTGTCCAAAATTATTTCAACAGAAGGTATTAGTATTAAAATTATACCTTGTCTTTTCAGTGAGAGGCGTGTTGATAACAACTACATCGCACTTTGGAAGCATTATATCAAGGTCCTCTTCAAACTTAGCTCCAATTTCTTTCTCTAATTCAGGCTCAATCTTAAGTCTATCATGATATAAAAGGTTACAGTTAAAAGGTTTCAGCCTTTGGAGTAAAAGCTTCCCGATTCGTCCCGCACTCACCGTTCCCACTGTCTTTCCTTCAAGATCATAGGCTCTATGTGAAATGCCTGCAACATTCCATTCTCCGGTAATAGACTGATGGTAACCAGGCACAAAATTCCTCACCAGAATGAGAATTCTCATGAGCTCATCCTCAGCCACCGACATTGTATTGCTTCCTGTGACCTCTGCGACGGTTAAACCAGCAGCAGCCGTAACATTGAGATCAATATGATCAGAACCAATTCCGGCAATTAAAAGTAGCTCTAAATTCTTAGCTTTCTTAATTCTTTCGGCGGTAACATAGGCAGGGTGAAATGGTTTAGATATCAAGACATGAAGATCAGGAATGTGCTTCTCATGTTCTGATAACATGACAACATAGTATACAATGTCATCAAAAGTGATAGAATCTGGTTCAAATGGAAGAACCATGCCTTTCTTCTTTCCATGGCTGGACTCTGTAACAGAATCTCCTCTTCCTGAACTTTCTGAAAGACAATAGAAAAAATATTCAGGAACTAAACTATATGACAGACTAACATATGTTTGTTTCATAAGGGATATGCATATAATCAAGAAAACCCACCTCTGCGTGGTAATTCAACTTCTTGTACGGTCCTATCATTAGAAGAATCATCTTCTGAATCATCAGGTATTGTTGCTTGAGGCTTATCAAATGGGCCTAGTACAGCGAGAGCCACACCAAACATCAAGTTGAAAAGGAACACAAATCCAGCCAATCCCGCGATGGTATCTGTCGCACCCCAAAATTTGCCCAACCTTTTCTAACCTAGGTTTATGTTTCAATTGCATAATCATTTGCATTGGCATCATGTACATAGTGCATTCATCTGCATTGCATAGCATAAGCTAATCTTAATCAGGGGATCAAGTGTTTTTCTTATCTCAAGAGGCATATTCAAGGGTTTCATTCATATTCAAGACTACTCAGGTCATCATAGAAGAATTTGGACTTTAAAGAGTTGACAGATCAATCATGGGGTTCTCTCCTATCTTGAGGTTGTTTGGGGATCATCAGAGAAAGCATGAGCTATGAGCCAAAAGTGTGGAATGTGTATGGATGTTATGGAAAGCCTAGATGAGCATTTTGAGGATGAGCCAAGTCATTGGAATGATTGCAAGAGCCTCAGTTGAAGTCAGTCAACTAGGGTTTCATCTAGGTCAACCCTAGGTCAAAGACTTGATTTGAAAAGCATTAAGGCTCATTTGAAGGTTGTGGGATTCATTATTTGCTATATGGATATGGATGTGGTGTTTTTCCAAATAAAAATCAACAGGAGTCAAGGAGAAGAGGAGTTACCAAATTAGGGTTTCAGTGTAAAATCCCCTGATTTAGGTCAAACTTCAAAGCAATGTAACTCAAGATGCAAGCCTCATATGGATTTCTGGTCCACAGGAAACTTGTAGAGTGGTGGAAGTCATCAAGATGATTTACAGAGCTCAAGTTATAGCTCTTGCAAGTTACAGGTCATCTGAGGGCACTGAAATTTGTCTGTGAAAGTTGTCTGTCTTCCAAGCAACTTTTACCCCTCAAGGAGATTTCAAATGAATTTCTGGTCAACATAAGAGTTGTTCCTCATTGTCTTATCTTTCTAGGAAGGTATGGTATGCCTTCATATGATTTGTGGAACTCTACTTATGTCCTTGGCAAGCAAAGGGTATTTTGGTCATTTGAGAATTACAGGTCATTCTTAGCCTATGCCTAAAACTCATACAAGGAAGCTTCAAATGGAAAAACTCACAACATCAAAGTTGCTCAAAATGGCATTTTAAGTCTTAAAAAGAGGTCATGGCATGTTGGAGAAGCTTGTAGAAAGAATTGACAAGAATGGGTGAAAATGACCTAAAAAAATGGACATAACTTGAAAAAGTTCAAATGGAAAATTGGTTTGGGCAATCTACAAATCCAAAATGGGTCATGTAATATACCAAATTGAATCCAAACAACATTTTAAAGACATTGGTTTAGCCACAATTTTGATTTGAGGGTTTAAAATTGGACTTGCTTTGTAAAGTTTTTTCTTGCATAATAAGACAACTTTGGAAAACTTCACACAAGGCAAGGAAATGCTTGTTTTTTGTACATACCTTTTCAATATCTCATGAGGAGAGATTTTGACACCAATTCAAGGAGCTTAATGCATGAGATAAGAGATATCCAATATGTCATCAAGTGAGAATTCCATGACTTTCTACCATATTCTAGAGGGATCTAGATTCTTCTAATGATGGTTATATATTGGGGGGATCAAAGTGAGATAGGAGGTTGGAAAATTCAGTGGAGAGAGTGAGAGAATAGTGATGTATTCAAAGGATTCTTCAAGTGCAAGCAAGGCTTGAATTCACCATTACAAGCACTCATCATCAAGGCTATTGCAAACAGAAAGAATCACTCCATTAGAGGAGCATTGTGAAGAAGAATCAAGTCTTGAATCCATCTGCATCCATACCTGCCATAGCCAACTAGCAGGTTTGGATTCTTTCTCCTATCTCCCTAATTATGTGTTGTTAGATTAGATTGTTAGTGTAAGGTTGTTAGGTTAGGTTATATGATCACTTTCTGAAAGTTAGAGAAGATTATATGAGGTTTCATGGCAGGGTGTCATTTCTTTAAAGATCAAGATTAGGCTGTGTAGTGAGTTTTAACCAGCATGTTATAGCTTAATGTGATTAGGGTAACATGATGAACAAGATAGTACCATTAGAATCAAGAATCGTGAGAGTCCATTGCAGTGTAAAGTTGGTGAACCAGGGGTTTCTACCTATCGGGTTTGAAGTTCTAGGGGGTTTCAGGGAGTGATATTGGTATGGTTGGATTCCTTGGAGTTAGTAGATTAATTTTGGTTCTTATAGTTCTTGATTTCATGGAATAGTGAGAGAGAACGAATGCCTTGAAGCTGCATGCATGAAGTTGGATTTTCTGAAAACCCTAGGGCTCGTTGGAGAAGATGAAGCATGTCCGTTCGATCGTGTCAAAATGGTTGACTGAAATCCAATCCAACGACCCATGTTTAAAGTTGAGAATTGGAGGGAGATTCAGCAAGCTTGAAACGCCGTGTTTCATTAAACGCGTATCTGGGCCCATAGTGTTATTCACACCTCCCTGCGCAGCTGACCCATTGCAATTGAACTGATTTTGTTACTTTCTACACCTCTCTCTCTCTTTTCTTTTTAATTTCTTTCTATTTTCATTTAAACTTCAAAAATTCATAAAAAAATGAAAATAATTGATTTTTAATTTCTTGTTTTTTCTACCACCTCATATAAATGTCTAAAAAATTATATGAAAATAAAAATGCCATTTTATTTTTGTTTGCTATTTTTAGCATATTTTCCATTTAAATGACTTTTTAATATCTTTTAGTTCATACATGATTTTCTCCATTTTTGCTCATGATCTTCCCATAATATTTTTGATTAATTCTTTTTAGTACAACTAGATATGAATGTTAGGATCCCCTGGTTTTTATACCACAATTTTTAGGAGCTTATTTTGGATAGTTTGATTAATTGACATTAACATGACCAAATTAGGGTTTTAGGTGTGACATAGGTGAAGTAAATCATTTCTTTTAGGAGTTTTAGTTCGATTTTTGGGTATGGGACTATAGGGATATTATGGGTAAGTATAATAGACCCTTGTGAATTAATGTTAGATTTTTCCCTTTCGTTTTAGTATTTTTAGGGCATTTTCTGAATTGCTTGGTTGTGAGGTATGCCTTTGTGATGTTTGTCTGCTTGTGGGGTTCCTTTGGGGAATTGCTTTGGGGGCTTAGCTTGTTTTGAAGAACTTGCAAGGACCATGATGAGGAGAAGATTGAAGACCTAGTCTAGGAGCTTGTTCTCTGTTTGTGAGGTTTGAGATCCTGAAGTTTGGAGGGAGTTTATGGTACTTTCCTGAGGAAGGCACTATGAATGCCTTTCATTCTTTCTTCTCACCTCTTTCTCAAGTATCCAATGATGTTGGAGACTTCATGTGAGTTTAGTTTCTCCTGAGGAGGAATGTAAACTGATCACAGTTGTTGAGCCACATGGGATATGATTCCTAAGTGGAAGCCTCCTAGTACTTTCCTGAGGAAGGCACTATGGGTCTATTCACTTAGTTCCCTTAGTTCATATAGGCTTTCTTAAGTATCCAATGATGTTGGAGCCTTCATGTGAGTTTAGTTTCTCCTGAGGAGGAATGTAAACTGATCACAGTTGTTGAGCCACATGGGATATAATTCCTAAGTGGAAGCCTCCTAGTACTTTCCTGAGGAAGGCACTATGGGTCTGTTCACTTAGTTCCCTTAGTTCAGGTAGGATTTCCCAAGTATCCAATGATGCTGGAGCCTTCATGTGAGTTTAGTTTCTCCTGAGGAGGAATGTAAACTGATCACAGTTGTTGAGCCACATGGGATATGATTCCTAAGTGGAAGCCTCCTAGTACTTTCCTGAGGAAGGCACTATGGGTCTATTCACTTAGTTCCCTTAGTTCATATAGGCTTTCTTAAGTATCCAATGATGTTGGAGCCTTCATGTGAGTTTAGTTTCTCCTGAGGAGGAATGTAAACTGATCACAGTTGTTGAGCCACATGGGATATAATTCCTAAGTGGAAGCCTCCTAGTACTTTCCTGAGGAAGGCACTATGGGTCTGTTCACTTAGTTCCCTTAGTTCAGGTAGGATTTCCCAAGTATCCAATGATGCTGGAGCCTTCATGTGAGTTTAGTTTCTCCTGAGGAGGAATGTAAACTGATCACAGTTGTTGAGCCACATGGGATATGATTCCTAAGTGGAAGCCTCCTAGTACTTTCCTGAGGAAGGCACTATGGGTCTATTCACTTAGTTCCCTTAGTTCATATAGGCTTTCTTAAGTATCCAATGATGTTGGAGCCTTCATGTGAGTTTAGTTTCTCCTGAGGAGGAATGTAAACTGATCACAGTTGTTGAGCCACATGGGATATAATTCCTAAGTGGAAGCCTCCTAGTACTTTCCTGAGGAAGGCACTATGGGTCTGTTCACTTAGTTCCCTTAGTTCAGGTAGGATTTCCCAAGTATCCAATGATGCTGGAGCCTTCATGTGAGTTTAGTTTCTCCTGAGGAGGAATGTAAACTGATCACAGTTGTTGAGCCACATGGGATATGATTCCTAAGTGGAAGCCTCCTAGTACTTTCCTGAGGAAGGCATTATGGGTCTATTCACTTAGTTCCCTTAGTTCATATAGGCTTTCTTAAGTATCCAATGATGTTGGAGCCTTCATGTGAGTTTAGTTTCTCCTGAGGAGGAATGTAAACTGATCACAGTTGTTGAGCCACATGGGATATAATTCCTAAGTGGAAGCCTCCTAGTACTTTCCTGAGGAAGGCACTATGGGTCTGTTCACTTAGTTCCCTTAGTTCAGGTAGGATTTCCCAAGTATCCAATGATGCTGGAGCCTTCATGTGAGTTTAGTTTCTCCTGAGGAGGAATGTAAACCATTCACAGTTGTTGAGCCGCATGGGATATGATTCCTGAGTGGTAACCTCCTAGTACTTTCCTGAGGAAGGCACTATGGGTTTGTCTGCTTAGCTCCCTTTCTTTGGTAAGCTTGTCTTGAAGCTTGAAGACTGGGATTGATTTCTCTTGTGTAGGGTGTTGCTTTAGGGTTTTGATTAGGGTTTTGATTAGGGGCTTTATTCAGGGGTTTGATTAAGGTTTGTTTTAGGG